GCAACAGGTCTTTTAATACTTGAAATCCCCATTATAAACTCCTGAGTAGGAAAAACTTTTAGAGATAAGAAATTCTATTAGCTCTTACTTTACACACAATTTTGACAAGCTAACATTTCTTAGCTAACAGCAGAGTAGATGAAAATAAAGCATAATGTATTACTAAGCACTGGACTTTTGATAGCAGAGAAAAAATAAGTAGCTTATTGCCTGACAGAAGCAAAATTATTACAAAGAGAAAAGCAAATGAGAGGTAGAAGAAAGTTCTCCCTTCCACATTCACACTCAACATTCTTCAGGTTGCCAAAATGTGGGGGCAACCCCACACCAAATGACTCTGCAATAGACACAAACTGGGTGTCCTCTGAAAAGTAAATTTGGTTCCTTCATTGACAACTGGAGAGACAGATCCCATGGTTTTAAGGCTCCATCCTACACAACAGGTGCCAATTTCAGGAGTCAGTTGTCACCTTTATTTCTGACCCACTGGCTATAGATGGGGGCTCTAACTGCCCCTCCTCATGCTTAACTTTCTGGGCCACTTCCCAGAATGCAGGGAGACACATTTATCAGTTTGCTATCAAAAAAAGACATTATGAAGGATCCAGATCATCAGGTGTGGAGTCAGGGGTCGGGGGGAGTCATGCTGCCACCACACGATTGTGTCTGTTAACCCAGAAGTGCCCCAAACCCCATAGTTGGGGATTTTCATCATGTTGGCATGGTTGCTTATTAATCCAATCAGAGGATGGAGATAGGGCTAGAAGTTCCAGCTTCCAATCATGGGTAGTTTTTCTGGTGACAAGCGCCAACCAGGAGCCCACCAAGAGTCACCCAGGAAATTCCAAGGGATTTAGGGGCTTTTGTCAGGAACTGGGGTCAAAGGCCAAATATTAAAACAAAAGATTCTCCTAGAGCCCCTATCTAAAAGGCATTAGGAGTTGAGTCTCAGGAAGCAGGTATATATACATATAAATAAAGTCCCTCAAAAAAAAAAAAAAAAAGACAAGATGGGTCAGGGTATGAGGAGTAACTTTTCAATAGGTACAGAGTTTCATTTTGGGATGCTGAAATAATTTAGAGATGGGTAGTAGTGATGGGTGGCATGACACTGTGTACGTGCTTACTGGTCCTGGAGTGGCGAGTGGCGTACAGTAAAAATAAACAAAATCCCACAAGAGTTCATCACTGAAACCGAGTCCTGAACTAGTAAAGTGACACTGGTAACTGTCTGCTTGAAGTTTGAAAATCAGCAAAATACAATGGAGCAGGAGCTCTCACTACCTGACCCCAAGAAATGAGTAACATTTTAAACTTTGATAGGTGACATATTGAAGATGGCTTTATTTTCATTTATTTATTGACAGTATCTTACTATGTAACCTGGGTTGGCCTCAAACTCCAGATCTTCCCACCTCCGCCTCCTGAGGCCTGGGATTACAGGAGTGCTCTACCACTCCTGACTGAAAGATGACTTTAAAAGTACATTAGAAAAATTTAATGTGGCCATTCTTTACATATAGTTTTGGAGGACAGAATATGGTCTCTATTCTTAAGGAATTTGTAATCTAGACAAAATATATGGGTATACAACAATTTCAAAGTGAGTGAAAATAATCGGTGGAGAATGCCTTCTTCCTTGTTTTCTCAGCCTTTCATGATCTGATCCTACTCTATTCTTTCATAACTGCCTACAGAACATTGTTCTGTGGTTAGGCAGATTTGCTAAAATCTCTACCACACTGATTACAAATAGCTTTTTCTTTCCAAAAGCCAAAAATTGTGTCCAAAATCCAGTGCTTTCCATGTACTAAGGGTATGAAGAGGCTGAGTCAGTTAGGCACTGTGACTCAGCCTTTAATCCCAGGTATGTAGAAGGCAGAGACAGAAGGATTGTGGTTCGAGTCCAGCTAGTCCTCGGCAAAAAGCATGAGACCCTATCTGAAAAAAAACAAAACTAAAGCAAAAAGGGTTGTGTCCTAGGCTTAAATGGTAGCGTGTCTGCCTAGCAAGCATAAGGCCCTGAGTTCAAACTCTGGTACTACCAATAAATAAATAAAGAGGCTGAGTCAATAGTCAGATTTTTTGCATTCAAAGATGGGGGAGGGGTGAGAGAAGCTAGTTTTAGGGGATATTCTATTTGGGGCTTCAGCTTAACACCATAAAGCATCCTATCCCCCAGAACTGCAGGAGTCTCACTGCTCATGGACGCCCAGTATCTGCCAGGCCTGTGACTTGTCTCTGCTCTGGCTAGAGATGGGTTTTTGTGCTCCTCTTCTCTTGGATATACTCCTTCCTCCTTAGACAAGATCTAAAGGGAGTTGGCTGAGTATAGCTCAGTGGTAGAGTGTTTGCCTAGCACACAGAAGACCCTGGGTTCGATCCCCAGAACCACAAAATAACAAAAACAGTTGTAATACTGAAAGTCTTAAGAAGTTTATTTTGACCTCAGTTTCCTTATTTACATGTGCATTGTAGCTGGGAGCTGATGACTCAAGCCTGTAATCCTAGCTACTTGGGAGGCTGAGATTGGGAGGATTGAGGTTTGAAGTCAGCCAGAGTAAATAGCTCGAGTCATCTCATCTCCAAATAACCACAGCAAAATGGACTGAAGGTGTGGCTCAAGCAGTAGAGCACCTGCTTTGCAAGCTCGAGCCAAGTTCAAACTGCAATCCTGCCAAAAATAAATACGTATACATTGTAATCATGACTTTTTAAAATTTCTAGAGAGCCTTATAATTTAGCGTTTCTAAGCTCTGCAGTTAGATCTTCCAAGATTTGAATCCTAGCTCCTTGATCTTGGGCAAATTACTTGGGGTCCATATCTGTGCTTCAAGGTCCTCTTCTATAAAAAAAGGTTAAGCCGGGCACCGGTGGCACATGCCTGTAATCCTAGCTACTCAGGAAACAGATTAGGAGGATTGCGGTTCAAAGCCAACCCAGGCAAATAGTTTGTGAGACCCTATCTCAAAAAAAAACCCTTCTCCAAAAAAGGGCTGGTGGAGTGGCTCAAGGTGTAGGCCCTGAGTTCAAGCCCCAGTACCACACACACACACAAAAAAGGGGTCAATAAATGAGCCAGGTGTGATGGTGCATACCTGTAATGCCAGCCCTGGGGAGAGTGAGGAAGGAGGACTGCAAGTTCCAAGTCAGTCTAGACTAGACAGTAATATGGTAATAATTTATACTCTGCAATTTGCCATTAGGCTTTGTTCTCAGCCGGCCTGTGTTATCTCTTTTTCGCTGCATATGTTATATAGATATATCTATTTAGCTGATTATTTAAAAAAAATTGTTAACTATTCTACTGTAGAAGGAAGTAACAAGAATTTTAAGATAAAAATCACTGCTACTTTTAACTTTGGGCTCTATACTATATTGAATTTTAAAAATTATGTATGTATATACATATATTATAAGCTTGTATTACTACTATAAACTTATTATACTCATTTGCTCCACACCCCCTTTTTTGAGGCAGGGTCTGGCTATGTAACCTAGGCTGGCCTATAACTCGAAATCCTCTTCTTCAGCCTCCTGAGTGCCGAGTTTGTTTTCAATTTGTCTCTATCTCAAATACATAGATTTAAAAGTTTTAAAGATGTTTTTGAACAGAGAATAATGTAGCATAATTATTGAACTTGATCACCCAGAATCAGTGACTTTGAAGATTTTGAAAGTTTTACCTGTTTTTAAATAAAAGTAAGCGCTGTGGATAAAGCTGAAATCCTCATCTTTCTTAGGCCATTTTCCTTCCCTCCCTCCATACAGGCAACAGCTGACATGAATTTGGTGTACCCTCTTGTTACCCATGTCTATACTTACTTAAAGTATGTGATTAGTATAAATTCTGTGGGATTTTAATTTATAAATATGGTATCACAATGTATATATAGTTCTGCAACTTGTTTTTTCATTCCACATTGGTTTTGAATTCTGTCTGAAATCATTTATCCTTTGACAAAAACAAAGTGATGCCATTTGGTCAGCTACTATTTATAGTCCATCCTTTCAGTACCATCTTTTATTTCCTACTCCTCTACTGTTGGATATTTAGGCAGTTCATGATTTTTCACTATAGCAAACAATGCTATATTGGTCATTGTAACTGCAAAAATTTTAGTAGGTATTTTACACACAAATTTAAAGTCTATTTGTGTCAGCGTTCTGTTGCTGGGACTAAGTACTGAGCAAATCAATTTAAAAGGAGGAAGAAACTTTATTTTTGGTTCAAGGTTTCAGACCTTCCAGTCCATGATCCGTTGCCTCTTTTGTTTTGCGGTTTGTAGCAAGGCAGTGTGTCATGGTGGACCAAGGTGCCCATCACAGGCAGCAAGGAAACAGAGAGAGAGAGAGAGAGAGAGAGAAAGGACAGGGCTCCTTGGAGAGCACACACACTCAACTTCCCTCCACTGGGCCAGACCCCCTCACTGGTAACTGAACCTTCAATACATAGCCTTTGGATGGACAGTTAAGTTCCAAACCTTGACACCATTAAATCTCTTTTACTTTATAGTATTTAACCCAATTTCTTAAAACTGGGTTAAAGTCTTTGAGGACAGAGCAAAAAGCAAGACCTTTAAACACACACAAAGGCAGCCAGCCATGTGCTTGGGGTGGAGAGGGAGAATGGTCAGTGTAAGAGCACAAAGCATACAGGTGCACGCATGGGGTTCGAATGCTACAGAATATTAGTTGGAGATTTATTGTGCTCCCACGACTGTGGAAAATGTCTGGGTAGCATACAGACGAGATTGAAAAATGAAACTGAATATGGCTTCATGACTGGCACCCAAAGAACAGAGAGATCAGGAGAGAGCCCTAAGAAGATTCCCTGCAAGAGAGATTTCATAGGAATCAGAGAGAAGGAGGAGGGGAGCAGGGTAGACTTAGACTGAAGGCTGGTGAGGTGGTTAAGTGGTCCTGACAGGGGGAGCGCCTGAGTTCAGCACGCACCATCCCCAACACCAAAATGGGAAAAAAAAAAAAAAAAAGCCAGGACAAAATGATCTTCCGTATTAAAACTTAAAAATGTCACGAGTTTGCTAATTACAGAGGAAATTGGGATGACTTTGCAAACTGTTCGTCCTCACCATCACACCATCAGTGCCACAGCTTGGAGGTGGTGAGAAAGACGATGTTGGAGAGCCAAAAGGAGGTGCAGGATCTGCTTCCAGTCTATGATTTCTCCTCGGCATCTTCACCGTACAATCCTTGTTTACGTCCTTGTACCAAATCCTCAAATGCAAGATCATAATGCAGTGGCCGAAGTGCAAAGCCTACAGTCCATCTTGTTGGTTTCGACATTACCATTCTGTTATAGGAACCAAAACAAAAACAAACAAAAAAACAACCCACCACTTTTCATAAAGGAAATATATCCGGGGAGGGAGTTGATGACACGACATCTGATTAAACTTGGCTACGTTAGATGTCCTTGTTTATCACCCGATTCCTCGGTCTGGACAGCTGCCTGTACTTTTCGTGGCTCCCTCGGGCCTGTGAACTTACTCTCACGGGGACGGGATGAGCTGCTTAAGGAAACAGGCACCAACTTTCCTCGCGCGCACAGTGGCGGGGCGGATCCCGGGGTCCCGGCGGGGAGGCCGCGCGCGGGCAGGTGACGGCCGCGGCGGGGCAGGAAGCACGGCGGGCGGGCGGAGCGGCGGCCGCCGAGGACCCGGGCCGCCGGCGCGGCGCCCCGCCCGGGCTGGTATGCGGCCGAGAGTGACGCGGGAGGCGGGGTCACGTGACGCCCGTGGAATGCCAACAATGTAGCGAATGTCCCACTTGGGTCTGCGCGTTGGAACCGCGGCGCGAGCGCCCTGGGAAGATGGAGCAGCCGCCGCCCGCGCCACCGAAGCCGCCCGGGGCTCCCCCGTCCCCGCGGGGCCAGCAGCAGCTCCAGCCACCGGCGCCCGGTCTCCCGGCGCGCGAGGCCCCGGAGCCGCGGGCCAGGGCGCCCCCGAGGGTGTAGACCGCGCTCCCGGAGGTGAGGGGCCGGGACAGGGGGGCGTGGGGCCGCGGGGCGCGGGAGAAAGTTTCTGTGGGCCGCCGAGCTCCGGGGCCCCGGGAGCGTGTCCGACCCGGTCGCGGGGTGGGAGCGGACGACCGAGGAAGTTCCTCCGGACGGGGCCGCCCGCCCTCCGGCCCGACGCACGATCCGCCCCCGCCCGGCGGCGCGTCGTCCGTCGTGGGCCTCGGGGGCGACGCCGGCCGGGGTCCCGGGGAACCGCGGAAGTCGGGGCGGGCGTCGGGCCGGCGGGGCCGCGCCGCTTTGTGGCGGGCCGGGGGCGGCGGCGGTGACGGTGACGCGCGGGGCGACCCGAGAGGCCGTCGGCTCAGGGGCGTCTCCGCCTCCCCTGCGGGCGGGGTGGGGGCGCTCGGCTGGCACCCAGACGTCGGCTTCCGCGCCCTGACAGCCCCGGGATCCCGCGCCCAACGTCCCGGGCCGCGCCGCCGTCCCCCGGGCCAACCAGGTCGCAGCCGTCTTCCCCTTCCCCCCGCCGCTGTCCGCTGCCCGGCCCTGCAAGGCGCGCGCTCCTCTCGGGCCCCGGACCCGGGGTGCGGGCGCCGGGCCCTGCCGGGCACCCGCGGATGCTGCGGGGACTGCCGCAGCGCGGGCCGTCGTGGCCGTGAGAGTGGGGCCATTGCGTTACACATCCCCTGCACCCCAGTCTGCCCCTTTTCGGGGACCCGCCGTCTCTGTTCCAGGCCGTCCCCGGCCCGGCCCCGTTCGCCCCGCGGACGCACGCACCTGACCGCGGCCGGGAGCGGGCCGTGCCGGACTGGGCAGCGCGCAGGCCCCGAGTAAAAATCCGCGTGTGCCAGCGGGACGGGGAAAGCCCTCCATTTGTAGGCGTCACTGACAAAGTTTGCACAAGAACTTTGACACTTTCACCCTTCTGCAGCATATGCGTGTTCCTGTCGCAGCCTGGGCTTTAAACAAGTATTTCACCTTCGCTTTTAGCCTGAGAGCATTCATTAATTTTGGCAGGTAAAAAATTCAAATTCATAGCCCCACAGCTCTCAAAAGTATTCAGCACATACTACCTTTTGAAAAGGAAAGTGTACCCGCCTTGATAAGAAATTTAAATATGCTGGAATTTAAATGGAAAGTCACAAAATGTGCGTGATCTTACGCAGGTGTGCTTAAATAAAATGTTGCCTTAGTGGATGAGGAGGCCTTAAGTCATGGGAAAAGTAACATGTGGCTGTTTGTTAGGAAATTTGTGTAAATAGATCTTGCTCAGTATTTTTAACTTAAACTCAGCTTAAATCTCGGAAAGATGTGCACTATTTTTAAGCGCTAAATCAATCTAAGCTGCTTTTTCTGCTGTAATTTTTTGTTTTTCTATAGCAACTGTTATAACGTGGTAACAAAATTAAGAATGCAGAGGCTGTTTAGAAAGCCTGTTTTAAGTTACCTATAATTAACAAGACGTTATACTATTCAGCCTCTCTTAAAATTTTGTTTCATTATCGAGGTATAGAAAGCACTATTGAATGAATCTGCCAGCATTCCTTTGAAAATAAATGGCTGAACATTTAATACATTTCAAAATGTCAAGCCGTTTAAAATGTGTTTACACAGGTCATGCAGAATTATTAAGGCAGAATTCTAGATTCATAGAATCGAGATTCCTAGAATGATAAGAGTTGCTGAACTGGAAGTGATTCATATAGCTTCTCCGTCTTCTTTGAAATACTTGTGATAAACAGTAAATTGTAGCTGTCTGCATTTCTTTCCTTAGGAAATCAGCCTTGGTGGGAGGGACTTTCTTTGGTGGGAGGGCAATACTTTTACAATAAGATGCCTTGTTATTTTAAATGCTGTGTTGTAAATAGCCAGCCCTGGGCTCCTAAAACCCACAGGAGGGTGGAGTGGGGGTTGAAGCTGATAAATTCACCCTAAACATAGAGGAAGGCTTTGGGGAAGCTTTGAGGGGTGGGAGGGTGTTCTGTTTTGCATTGGGAAAACCAGAACAACCCCACTTTCAAAAAGCTGCTTTTGTATTTATCTCATGGCTGTAATAACATGGAACTTCTAAACTATTCCTTACTGACTTGAAAAATAAAAGGCTTGAAGAAACAGTGACGATAAACTCAAACGCATTTATTGTGTTTGACTATAAATCTGTTCTAAAGAGGGGTGAAATATCCCAACGGACAGACAGAAGGATCCAGCTTGATTGAAGCTCTAAAAATTCTCCGCCTCCCCTTCCTTTTAAAAAGGCTATTGCTTAGAAATTCCTCCGAATCCATAATCATCGGAAGACCTGGCCCTGTTCCCATTGTATGCTAAGGCCACCAGGACCTTGTGGTCCTCTGTGAGGGCTCCCGGAGGTGAAGGCAGGCAGCCCTGTTGGTTAAGGGTTAGTCAGCTGTTTTCTAGGTACAAGAAAGGGGATGATACTCCATGTTTTGCTTTCTTTTGAAAGTATGAATAAAACAAAGTAGTATCAGAAATAAAGATAATTGGTGATGCCAAAATTAGGATGGAAATTGACATGGCTTAATTTAATGCTTGCCATTCACTCTGCAAAGATTTTATGTTGGTTGCTGTCTAGACCGTGTCAACTAGAATGGTCTTAATAGTTAATTAGCAAATACTTTTTGTGTGGATGCCAACAGTTGACATACACAGGATTTCTTCTGGAGGAATAATGAACAGTTTCATGTTTCATAGCAAGGGTTCGTGTTTGTTGTTAACACTGTTAACTGTATGTGGCAGAACCGATGGACCCCAACTCAGTTAGGAGTGTAAGAATCTTCTTGAAGAATGTCAGTTGGATTTTTTTGGTGGAGTAGGGCCCTATTTGGAATACTGAGCCTGGCTGCCTGCAGGCAGGTATCTTGAGTGGGTCTATTACTGATTAACTCCATTCTAACTCCTAGGTCTCACTCCTATTTTGTTCATTTTAAGCCCTCAGACAGCACCTGCCTCCTCCCGACATTGTCTGCCTGTTCATCTTTCTCTTCTGTGTTCAAGCCTTTTCACAGGAAGTTCCAGACTCCAAGAATAGCTTTAAGCTTCCTCCATCAAATCATAGCTCTTTGGCCTTTCCAGTTTTGGTGAAACATTCCTTTCTCTAGGTTTTCCCCAAACTATCTCAGCACCTCCGTGAAGAATTGGGTTTCTCCATGCAGATAGGCACATGCACAGAGATCCTTTGGACAGTCACAGTATTTTTTGCCCCCACTTATTTTCAAATGGGAGGGCTGCTCTGACACTCTAACTGGGGTAACCTGGGGGAGTGGGTGCAGAAGGGGCAGGACTTGCTCAAAGATTGAGAACCCCTGCTGGGTGTGGCCTGGGTTGTAAGGAGATGTGCTGTCCTGTTCTGCAGTATGCTATTAGGAGTGCTGCAAAGAACAAGTAGTAAGTTCTGTTCACTACATTGAGATAGCACGAGTACAGATTTCTATGGCTTCATTTATTTATGCTGTTGATATTTGCATAATACGTACCATACATGTTAGGTATAAAGCTGGCTAAAAGAGAATGTTGTGACTGGACGTGGTGGGTCACACCTGTAATCTCGTCTGCTCAGGAGGCAGAGATTTGAGGTTGGAGGCTGGCTGAGGCAAAAAGTAGTGAGATCTTATCTCAAAAACAAACCAGGGGGAGCACAGTGACTCATGGCTGTAATCCCAGACACTAGGGAGGTGTAGGAAAGGTAGGTAGATTACGGTCAGAGGCCAGCCCAGGTAAAAAGCATGAGACTCTTATCTAAAAAATAAAGCCAAAAGGCTTGGAGGCATGGCTCAAGTAGTACAACACTTGCCTAGCAAGTGCAAGGCCCTGCATTCAAAAAATACCCACCCAAAAGAAATAGATAAAATAAATAAAAATAAAAAAGAACAAAAGAATGGAAAGAAAACCCTGGGCATGGTGGTTCATACCTGTAATCCCAGCTACTTGGGAGGAGGCAGTAAGAGGCTGATTGTAACCCACAAACAGGTAAAAGCACAAGACCCTGTCTGAAAACAAGGTAAAGGCAAAAGGGCTGGGGGTGTGGCTCAAGCTTCCCCTCCCCCCACATGAGCCTGGAGGAGAGATCCTGTTTTACCTGGATCCCCATGTCCAGCACAGAGCCTGTACTGATGGTGTGTGCTAGACAGGGAGGCCTCTAAAGAGTGTCTTCCTAAATCTCCAGATGACTGCCATGTGCTTTCCCCACAGCCCATCTCCTGAGGAGCAGCCCTGAGGCTGGACCGTGCTGGACTGTTCTGTCTGCATATCCGTTTATGATTCTGACACTTAGCATCTGACTTGAGGCTGGCCTGACTGCCTGGCTTAGTTTCAGCTTTGCTAGTTAATTATGCAGGGATTCGATTTAAATCATAACGGGAATTTTAGAACCAAGAAATTCTGTGTTTTAAAAATGCTTCCCCCCCCTGCCACACACAAAATTTGTTCACTGGCATGCACCAGTGAATTATAATCTGCATGCCTGTAATCTCGGCACTTGGAGGCTGAGGTGGGAGGATTGATAGTTGCAGGCCAGTCTGGGCTCATGGTAAGATGTCAGTGCATGCTCCACAAGACAGAGATTTCGTTGGTTCCAGGGCTGGTGCTTGGTGTGTGGATTTGGCAGTCTGTGTGGGATTGTGAAGCACTCGGAGTCATTAGAATAAGAATTTTTTAACATCTGGTAGCATTTTCCAGGATTGGATTGAGGATTGGAATTGGATTTGGTAGGACCAAATTAAAGGAATGATTAAAAATATTGTCCTCATTTGTTTACGTAGCCACCTGTGCTAAGCATGCGATCTGGGAGTCGGTTTCAGTTTCTTTTAAAGTATATTGGAATCAACTGGTGGTACCAGAGGAATTTAAAAAAAATAGATTTACCTTAATGATACCTCATTTTTAAAGTCCACATCAATGAGGGTGATATTTGTAAAACCGTTGATAAGGGAAAATTTCGTACAGGCCAGGTATTTCTTATTAAAGTCCTATGGGAGTGTATCAGAGTCGCTCATCTC